GCCATCAAATATTTTAACGCGGCTTTCTTCGCCGTCAACTATGTTAAGAGTCTTTCTTCGTTGAAATTCTCTTTATGCGTCTTTTTTCGCATTTAACTTTTGAGCTCGCACCTTTATTCGTATCTAGGGACGATATGTTAGTGTTTGGCCGAGCTTCTTCTCCGATTTGTGGCGTGCGCCTTGGTGTTGTTACACGCCGACTCCGGACGGCGATTGTATTTTATGTGAACCTGTTTTTCGTGGCAAAAATACACACGGATGTTTGCCATTGCCTGCCGAGGGGCGAAAAAAACCGTTTTTGTTTTTTAATTTTTGATGTTGGGTTAACCGCGCTTGAACCCAGGCCATGCGGTATGGTAGCGCGCACTGCTAACTACTACACACAGCGGCCGCCTTTGCTTTAATATATAAAAAATATTCCCAAAAAACTTGACGTCAAAATTTGTCGACATATTTTGACAGCTTTATCTCCTTTATCCATACTTTTACCGCTAATATCATGTGCCAAAAAGACAGATCGCCGATTTAGCAGCACTCATACACGACTAAAGACCTATCCCGATCGAAATCCGTCAATATAGCGCTCTTTAATCTTGTCTGACAATGCGCTTTCACTTATTTGACGACAAATGCCTTTGAATTTGACATAGTAAAAATAAGCCGTTACCCTGTTAAAATGCTGAACGTAAAAAGACAGTAAGATACGAAAATCAGTCTTGTCGATTTTGGCGAAAATTAATATATCATATGAGTTTGTAAGTGGTACAACCTTAAGTAAAAAAATATCTGATTTTAAGATAAATTTCCAAATTGTGGCTTTCAGTCTTAAAGTTAAATTTGTTTACTTTTACTTACTAGGAATTATACAGGCAAATTCTTAAGTTTATTTTCATTTCGTTCGGTATCGATTACCGTGTAATATGTATCTGTTATGTCAGAAGTAAAAGTTACACTCCAATTTGGCATTAATTTGTTGTATTCTTCTTCGTCTTTTGGTCCAAAATACAAACCCTCACGGCACGGCACTAGGACGTAGGATTTGTGTCCTCAATATAAAACTTCAGTATTATAATCGCTTACAGCCAGTTTCACGAAAGCAATTTAAATGAAAAATAGTTTTTTTGAAGTGAAACTTCTTTAGCGGCGGTTGGTTGGGAGTAAATTGGCAAATTCAGCGGAAATTGCACACGGATCTGGTTGGAAAGGAGATGATGCAACGGAAGTGATGCAACGGAAATGATGCAACGGAAATGGTGCAACGGAAATGGTTGGGGCTGAAACAAGTGCTTCTAATGCGTATGCATATGGTATAAATTTAACAAAAATTTGCTAACAAAAGGTTAAAGAATAACACTTTGAAAAAGACCAATACAAGAATGAAAGTAAAGGTGACTACGTACATAAATGAAGAAAAGGTAAAAATAACAACAAAAAACAAAGATGCGTAAAGATAAAGGCAAAAATGAAGACCAAGGTATATCTAAACACTTTACATATATATATAAGAACAAATGTGAAGGGGAATATGTAGCTGAAAAAAATGATGAGCATAAAAGTAAAGACAAAGAGGAGGATGAGGATACCGATAAAAGCAAAGATGAAGACATGGAAAGAAAGATTAAAATATAGGTAATTAAAGAGGAAAGGATATAGAGAGAGACACAGAGACTCAATCTGGGAACTATTTCTGGATTTTAGAGATTTTCGGGATTCTCGAGACCTATCGATAAAATAATCGATATTTTTATCGGTTTTGTTATCGATTTTGCTATCGATGTTTATCGATTTGATATCGATATTTACCGATTTTGTTATCGATATTCATCGATTTTGTTATCGATAATTATCGATATTTATCGACTTTGTTAGCGATATTTATCAATTTTGTTATCGATTTTAATATCGATATTTATCCGATTTTGTTATCGATATTTATCTATTTTTTATCGATATTTATCGATTTTGTTATCGATATTTATCGATTTTGTTATCGATATTTGTTGGTTTTCGTAAAGCAAAGAAATGAATGCTGCTTTTATTTAGTTGAAAAACAGTTGCTATTATATACATACATATGTATAGATATATTCCAAAAGATAATATGACAGGGTTGTAATTATTGGTATTGAAACCTCAATTAGAATGTACATTTTTAACACCCTAATGAATTTACAAATTGTGCATGTTTTGCTTTTGATACATTTTTGGTAAAGATATCTGCTACCATATTTTCGGTTGATAAGTAATTTAGATCTATATAACCTTTCTTTATAATTTCTCTGATGAAATGGTATCTTATGTCTATATGTTTGCTACGCGCATGATACACTGGGTTTTTGTTAAACTGTTGCGCGCTGAGGTTGTCACCGAATATTGTTGTTGGTATTTTCTCGTCACCACACCCAATTTCTATTATTAATTTTCTTAAGTGAATTGCTTCTCTCACAGCTGACGCAATCGCCATATACTCCGCTTCAGTGCTACTCAGCGCCACGCTGTGCTGCTTTTCTGCCTTCCATCAGATCGGACCTTCTGCCAAACAAAATACGTAACCCGNAATAACACTTTGAAAAAGACCAATACAAGAATGAAAGTAAAGGTGACTACGTACATAAATGAAGAAAAGGTAAAAATAACAACAAAAAACAAAGATGCGTAAAGATAAAGGCAAAAATGAAGACCAAGGTATATCTAAACACTTTACATATATATATAAGAACAAATGTGAAGGGGAATATGTAGCTGAAAAAAATGATGAGCATAAAAGTAAAGACAAAGAGGAGGATGAGGATACCGATAAAAGCAAAGATGAAGACATGGAAAGAAAGATTAAAATATAGGTAATTAAAGAGGAAAGGATATAGAGAGAGACACAGAGACTCAATCTGGGAACTATTTCTGGATTTTAGAGATTTTCGGGATTCTCGAGACCTATCGATAAAATAATCGATATTTTTATCGGTTTTGTTATCGATTTTGCTATCGATGTTTATCGATTTGATATCGATATTTACCGATTTTGTTATCGATATTCATCGATTTTGTTATCGATAATTATCGATATTTATCGACTTTGTTAGCGATATTTATCAATTTTGTTATCGATTTTAATATCGATATTTATCCGATTTTGTTATCGATATTTATCTATTTTTTATCGATATTTATCGATTTTGTTATCGATATTTATCGATTTTGTTATCGATATTTGTTGGTTTTCGTAAAGCAAAGAAATGAATGCTGCTTTTATTTAGTTGAAAAACAGTTGCTATTATATACATACATATGTATAGATATATTCCAAAAGATAATATGACAGGGTTGTAATTATTGGTATTGAAACCTCAATTAGAATGTACATTTTTAACACCCTAATGAATTTACAAATTGTGCATGTTTTGCTTTTGATACATTTTTGGTAAAGATATCTGCTACCATATTTTCGGTTGATAAGTAATTTAGATCTATATAACCTTTCTTTATAATTTCTCTGATGAAATGGTATCTTATGTCTATATGTTTGCTACGCGCATGATACACTGGGTTTTTGTTAAACTGTTGCGCGCTGAGGTTGTCACCGAATATTGTTGTTGGTATTTTCTCGTCACCACACCCAATTTCTATTATTAATTTTCTTAAGTGAATTGCTTCTCTCACAGCTGACGCAATCGCCATATACTCCGCTTCAGTGCTACTCAGCGCCACGCTGTGCTGCTTTTCTGCCTTCCATCAGATCGGACCTTCTGCCAAACAAAATACGTAACCCGGATATGATTCGCGATCAGATTTGTCACCACCCCAGTCTGCATCCACGTAACCGGTCAACGCCTGCCCAGCTTCGTGGTAATGTAACTTTTTACTTATAGTTGTTGCCAGGTATCTCATTACCTGTTTCACTCCTGACATGTGTTCAACGTGTGGGTTTGTAGATCGCTGCGCTAGTTTCGCCACCGAATGCAAAATGTCCGGCCTTGTTGTGAGCCCTATCCACATTATCGCACCAACTACCGATTGATACGCTTTTATATCTACATTCTTACAAGTTGTGTTATCGCATGCAATTTGATGACCGGCATTTAACGGCGTAGCTGCCGATCTACAATTTCGGATGCCTTGTTGCATCAAAAGCTCTCGGATGTACTGCTGCTGATCAATAGTGATGTCACCAAGATCACCTTGACGTTCAATGCGCATACCTAAAAACATATGCAGGGGGCCTCCATCTACACACTCAAATCTCCCAGAAATACGTGCTTTTATATTAACCAAAAGGTCGATTGTCTGACTTGCAATAATTATATCGTCGACATAAATTAAAATAAAATTTAAACTATCTTTACCTTGTTGACGGTACAAGCACGGCTCATTGTCACAGGGAACAAAACCAATTTCACGAAGCACGCTGTCTAGTCTCGCGTTCCATTCCCTTCCTGACTGTTTTAACCCATATATGGCCTTTTTCAATTATTTGTGAGGGTTATAATTGTTAACAAAGCCTTCTGGTTGATTAATATACACTATCTTTCAAGTCGCTATTAAGATATGCCGTCGCGACGCGTCGTTACGTCTATTTGATGCATATATAATTTCAATTCTACAGCAAGAGCAATCACTAAACGGATTGTTTCGAATCTACAGACGGGCGCGAAAGTTTCGTTGTAGTTTACACCCCACCACAGCCTTTGGCCACTAAACGGGCTTTGTACTTTTTAACATTCCCGATCTCGTCTCGCTTAAGGGTATAAACCTATCTATGTTTTTTCGGACGACCTTTATTGCCTGAGCGAATTAACCGCGGTCTACCTTGACCTATTTTCGTTGGCGTATTGCTTTTATTTTCGCAACTATTCTTATCACACACTTCATCATTGCTGCTCTTCCCACATTCTCATTGAATAGAACATCCCGACTCTCAATCACTTTTTGTGTCTCTTTATCAAATAATCGGTAAGCTTTTGAGACTAATGAGTATCCTACCATGATGTACTCTTTGCCTTTAGCTTCAAATTTAGTTTTATATGCTTTTTTTAACGCAACTGCGATTGATCCAAACGTTCTGAGATGACCAACATGTGGTTTTCTGCGGCTCCAAATCTCGTACGGTGTTTTTGTACCAAGGGCTTTTGAAGGGCACCTGTTTCTTAAATACACTGCTGTCGCTATTGCTTCTGCCCATAATTTCGAACTCAAACCTGCATGGACTAACATACACCGCGCCATTTCAACGAGTGTGCGATTAGCGCGCTCAGCCACACCATTCTGCTGAGGTGTATAGGGAACCGATAATTCTCGACGAATGCCATGCTCCTGTAAATACTCTGTAAAATCTTGATTTACATATTCACGGCCGTTGTCACTGCGTAAAACTTTTATCATGCGCCCTGTTTGTCGTTAAACTTGCTGTCTAATAACCTTAAATTTTGCAAGTACTTCGGACTTTGCTTTTAAAAAATATACAAACATCCGCCTTGAACTATCGTCGATGAATGTAAGGAAATATCGACTACCGTCTAATGAAGATATGTTTATTGGGCCGCAAACGTTGCTATGGACTAACTCCAACAACTCTTTAGATCTGCTTTCAGAATTGGGAAAATGAAGCATATGTATTTNAATACCACGAATCACGTCGTACTTTATTAAATAGTTTAAAGATTGGTAATTCAGGTGGCCGTACTTGTTGTGCCACATTTCTATATTATCTGCCGCAGCGAATATGCGTTCTGTATGACTTGAAACCAAAACAAATTTTCGCGTTTTTCTGCTTTTAGAATTATCGAATTCGCCTTATTCTTTATGAGGGCTAACTCCGCCGTGAAAGTTGCTTCCAAACCGCTGTCGACTGCTTTGCTCACCGATATAAAGTTTGCTTTCAGCTGTGGTGAATATAGAACGTTCTTTAAGATGATTTCTCTGTCACCGCAAATGAGCTTTACATCGCCTATGCCTTGAGCTTCTATGTACGCGTCTCCTGCTAACATTATGTTCTCTTTATGTTCGCTGAGCTTGACAAATAACCTTTCGTTGTTACACATATGGGATGTAGCCCCACTGTCAAGATACCACGATGACGTATTTAAAGCTTTGATTTCTGCTAAGCCAGCCATGGAAAAAGACAATTGTTCACCTTTCTTCTTCTTCTCACATTTGCTGGCGTAGTGGTCTTTTTTCCCACATACAAAACGTTTGCCGGAGAACTGATATTTCTCTTTATAAGCTTTTTGTTTTTTCTGTAGTGTATTGCTGATTCCGAACGCTTGCTGAGGATTTTCCAATGACGAATCACTATGCTGACTTCGTCTTTCTCCTTTTTCCAGAAGTTTCACTTTGAGTGCGTTGTACTTCGGAAGTTCATCGCGTGTCTAAATAGCGATTACAAAATTCTCCAAATCTTTTGGTAAGCTCGCTAACAGAATGATAGTCAGCAATTCCTCTTGAAGTTCAATACCGGCTTCGGACAACTTTCCAGCAATCTCCGCGAAGGAATTTAAGTACACCGTCATACCTTCGCCATCCCGCATCCGCAAGTTTAGCAATTTTTTATATAACGCTACCTTCTGTACTGGCCCCTGTGGCTTGTACACCTCCTGCAGTTGTTGCCATGCTTGTGCAGACGTCTTAGCCTCTTTTAAATTAGTTGGTTCGGCTTCACGCTCAAAACTATTGCGGCCAGAGCCTTATCGTCCAGCGACTCCTACTCTGCTTTTTGTTCCACTGTCATCGAAGGATCCAACTTTATCTGTCCATTGACCACCTTCCAGTAACCGCTGTGGATCAGGATGCGGCGCATTTGAACGCTCCATGAGTCAAAATTCGTATTATCCAATTTATCGATTGAATACAATGAAGACGCCATCGTGCCTAAGCGCGTTTTATAGTATTACCATTAAATTCTTTAAATAACTTACGCAGAGTGATGTTTTTTTTTTTTGCGGGACTGAGCCCATAACCTGTTGTTTTTCGTAAAGCAAAGAAATGAATGCTGCTTTTATTTAGTTGAAAAACAGTTGGTATTATATACATACATAGTGATAGAACTTTTTAGAAAAGTATCGATACAAGTACTCATATAGAATACTCTAAAAAAGAATCGATGCCAGTACTCATACTTGCAAAAAAGTATCGATAATACTCGTACTTGCAAGTATTCTCAAAGCAAACGCAAAAAGGAAAAAAAATCAGATTGCTTTGCTTTTTCACCCTTCCTATTTGTAAATTGAATAGTGACTGTTTTTAATAATTTTAATCTAATCTAAAGGAGTTTTTGGAATAAACTTCCAATAAGATTAATTTTACACGCGTAAATTAAATGTTTATAGCAAAAAGCTTATTTCAAGTTTTTAAAAGGAAATCTATATATTAATACGCTAACATAAATTTTGTCTCCGTTCGTTTGGCGATTCTACCGAACCGATTTCAAAACCAAGAACACCTTTGGAAAGGCATTTTTATGGTTTCACAATTGGTTGAAAATTACGGCCAAAACCGTCGTTTAAACATTTTCGTTTTGTGTATAGATGTTGCTGCAATATGTTCAATGTTTCGCATGTTGTTTCACTTCACATTTGAAATTAAGCTTTGAAATAAAGATAAATATGAAGATGTAGAAATAAATGATAACGATGAAGTCAAAAAAAAAGAAGGCAAAAGTGAAGATAAAGACGAAAATGGAGACAATGGGTAGGTTCAGAAAGCGCAGCAGTTGAGCGCAACCGTTGCTAAAAAAATCAGTGACAGTAATGCGTCTTCTGAACGGCTTGATATATTATCTGTCAAATTCAAAACACACAACATGTTGTCTCAAATGATCACAAAAATATTACTATCATCTGACACGCATCTGTTCAGTTGATCAGAAATACAAAACAGACAGAAAAACAAACGCGTTCAGAGGGTGCAATCGCAACAGTTACTGAGCTGTTGCGCCTTCTGAACGTGCCCAATGACAGATACATAAGAATTAGGGTAACTGAGAGGGTAAGAACATTTTTTGAATTTATGAAGTGAAACTTCTTTAGCGGCAGTTGGTTGGTTGGAAGTAAATTGTCAAATTCAAGGGAAATAATGCACATGGAAATGGTTCTCAGCGGTTTAGCGGTTTGAGAATGAAAACAAAAACAAAGATGCCTAGAGATACAGGCAAAAATGAAGACCAAAGTAGATTTAAACCAGGGTTTGAAAAACTGTCAGCACAGCAGCAACAGCACTACTGTTTTTGCTTTTGCTTCGCTTTGAAATTTTTGATTTTCATTCAAACTGATTTGCTTTCGCTGTGACTTTGAAAATTTTATTTTGCTTTTTTGTCGGCAGTTTATTGAAAACAATTTAGTAAGTTGAATTTACTGCTTTTGATTTGCTGTGATAGCACTTTTCTTGTGCTGTGATTTGCTTGAATGTCCTGTGCACATGAAGCTTTGCAGCATGGTGTATTATCGCTGACTAGCCAGGAGTGAGTACACACAAAATTTGCAGAATCAATTCCTTTGCCTTGACCTTTCGCTAGCGCTTATCTCGTGTGAAATTGGCGATTACCAATCGCTAGCGAATTGCCTAACAATCGGTAATGCATCGTCGTAGTTAGCTTATGGTCGCCTCTTGTCACCAGTTCAACTAAAGGTTAGTGCATTTGTGCATGCATAGATATTTCTGCCGATTTGATGTTTCACGGTCAAGTGATAGTCGAATTGCTGTTGCTTTGTTGCCGCTGCGCTGTCGTTGTGCTTTCACATATTGTTTTTTAACTGTTTGGTTGCTTTCGAAATTTTACAGCAAAACGACAGCCAAAGCATTTGCTTTTTTCCGAATTGCTGTTGCTTTGCTTTCGATATCATACATGCCGAAGTCAAAGCCATCGTATATACTTACAAGTATGGAATCCTATGCCCCTTTTTGTCTATTCTCTTTCTAACAGCGGACGTGCCTGCCAAACAGCGGACGTGCCTGCCAAACTGAAAAGCATGAAGGCGGCAGTGTTTGACAGGCACGTTCGACGATGCGAACGGCAATGGAAGGTAAGAAATGGAAGATGGATGACATGAGAATGAAAGAATTATGAAATAGCAGAATGTCGAACCAAAACGAATTTCAAAAATCTGACAATGCGAATGACGTCAAAATGAAAGAAATGCAAAATACCGAAATGTCGAAACAGAAGAAATAGATGACAGCCACGTGTTCAAGGGTTTCGTGCAACAAAAAGAGTTGTTGTGTTGCGCCATTCAATATTAAAAAAAAGTAATGTGGTTAAATACGCTTTTCTATTAAGTTGAAAA